CCGTGCAGGAGGTTTTGTTCACCGGAGCTCGAAATTGGTGCACTGTGCGCCAGACTGGTGCTGCCGCCATTGTCAATGCCCATGCCAGGCTGGTCTCTTTGAACAGAGAGGTAAAAAATACAGGTCGATGCACCTCGGTCACCCCGGTTCATACAGTCGCTGAGGATGTCTTACAACATCAGAAGAACAATCAGGCCAGTCGAGTTCCACTAGTCATTTGCTCCATCACTGGTTACATACATTATACTCTATATATGCAGCGCTGTGTCATTTATATTCTCTGCAAATGTTAGGGGAGAAATCCCAATCCGGTAGCACAGCCCATGTTCACGTCTGGTGCGCAGGCGTCAGCGAGGCGGCTGAGGCGACGCCACTTCACAGTCCCATGGCGGATGGGTATCATCACTACGTCCCTTTACGATGTAATCCAACCCACATTGTGCACAGCAGTATTGGATTCCGCTCAGTCGCTCAGAAGTTACGAATAAAATGCCCAACCTGAGTGACCGCTTCATTCACACTCATTAGCAGTAATGTGACGTTTCCACGCCACGTACTCGCCGAAATTAGAGGCATCCTTAAGTAATACGACACTTAATGAATGCATTAAATGCCACGTAGCGTGATTGAGTTAACCATATGACGGCTGCCCTAAGGGCAGAGAACCGGATTGGTTCTAGGTGGTCCTGCTCCACACAGAGATAATTTGACGCGAAAATGTGCCGCGTTTTGAAGTGATTTATGAGACGTTTGTCAGAAGGAGATGACCATCTCAAATCGGCAAACTTTCAAATCTAAAATTTGAAATAAGAGGAAGGCCTTCAGCTTTCGTCCCGCCCAGCCGTTCTGAATTATCGATATGTTTTTTTCGAATCTAATGGGCAGTCCTATAAAGCAATTAAATAAACCATTTTTGTCATCAAATGGTTTGAAGTGCGTGTATAAAGTAAGCGTATATTTTGGCTTGTAAAAGTTGCGTGCCTTGCATAAATTTCAGCACTTAACCAAGCGTGTTTTTATTCGGCCAACAAGCTATTAAATAACGACGCGTCCATTAGAGATCAATGAGCATTGTGTCGCTACGTTTCTCATTTCTACATACCGAGTCAACAATTACGACGCATCTCTTCTACAAATGCTGCGCGCAGTCCTGATTTGCAACACATGTCTGCTGCCAGGATCTAGAATAGTCTCATGAGACTAAAATAATTGCCTCGCCCCTATTTCTGTCGCCGTAACTATCCCTAAGTGTCTCAGTATTTCTAGTTGGTCAGCCATGGCCGAAAAATTGTCAAATTTCAACGTGCATCACCAGCCAGGTGGCCAATAAATAACTCGAACTTATGAGCAGTAGCCCCCGACTGCCAACATAAAGACTCGAAACATAACAACCAGACAGCACAAATTAAGAGCCCCTAACTCTAGCGAAGACATGAAACACATTCTCTCTTCAGTAACCCAGAGAACAAAGCGATGAACGGAACCAGCACGGGCCTGCTGCTGTCATTCTGGTCGACCAGACACGTCGTTGTTTGTTTTCACGCATGAACGACGACGGTTTAGTCTGGGCTGATCGTCGACTGAGCGTCGGCAGAGGATAGAGTGTGTGCTTATTGTGCCAGGCTCACTGAATTGTCGGTTAGAACCACAGGAGCGCAGCCGTTTCTTTCTCAAGTTATCAAGTGAGGCGGATGAATCAGCGTTCAGTGGGCTCAATGTTTCCACGCCGGGCAGAATTGGTACTGTGCGTCACTGGTACTGCGTGCCAGAACACAAATAGAGGAGCCTTTCCGGAGTTTAGCCAGCATTGTAATCGGTTTGAGGAGATGAGCATAACGTTGACTTTAAAAATAGTTTACTTTGTTTGGGTGCATTATGAATTAACTACTTTATCTCTCGTTTACAGAATACGCCGGCAGTTAAGATATATGTAAATTGCAAGTCCATTTCGATTTAACCTCTCTCTGACTCCACCCTCTGCATTGCTTCTGTTTTTGACAAGCTGTGCATGCTCGGCGGTGCCCGACTGAGTTGTCTGGGCTGTCCGGAGCTGTCCGGAGCTGTCCGAACCCCCACGGCCCGCTGCCACAGCGGCCAGCGCGTGCCTCCGCTGCGTGCTGGCATATCCTCGAGAAGTCACAACAACAATGGGGGCCTTCGGCGCCGGCCGAGGCACACCAGCCGCCACAGCCGACCGCTCTTTGACAGTTTCGACGCCGGCAAGAAAAGGTGACGGCGCAGCGCGCATTGTGGCGCAGATGCGACCGAGTGAGACAATGGTGGCGCGTGGTGTGTCAGGTGCACCAATTGCCGTGGTGTGCTCGCTGGTGACGGCAGGCCGACAGACGCAGCTGGACGGAGGCACGGCGTGGCGGCTGCGGCCGAGCTGCGGTCTCCACACGTGCAGCGAGCGGCACACGTGGCGGGCACTCCGCACGCACGGCACAAGGGGCACGCGCGGGGTGCAGCTCAGATGAGGTGGTGCCTCTCGTCAATTGTGTTGGCCGGCTTACCGCGGCTAACTTCCATCAGTTCCACATGTCATAGCTAGATTTCCTGGGAAATGTCCCAGACAGCTTTGAGCTCGCAATCCTACGCATAGAAATGCCGTTTCAGGTGTCTTGCTCCAGGCACGTCCATACCTATAATTATTTCTTTCCTGGGCTTACATTTGATTCCGTTCCTTACAGGTTCGCTGTTAGTGACCCCTGTCTTCTGACTCATTTCACATTCATTCTATGAAGTTCAGTCGGGCTCCGGAGTTCGTCCATGAGTTTAAGTGGGACACGTCCAGCTATGCCCGAGGGTTCAGCTAGCTAGCTAGTGGGGCGCAGAGGCTAACTGCCCTCGCATCAGTGGGCGATCAGAAGATAATGTCACATCTAAAAGCACGCTGGCCGTTTCAACGGCCCTTGAATCACGAATGGCTTTTTCTGTTTCGCCCAATTGCGAAAGATGTATCGGCTATCGCTGCAAACTAAAGTTTTGGCTGTTGTTTAACGGACTCAGCTGATGTCGATGGATTTTCCGGTTGGGTTTCGTTTCGTTGAACCTTGACCTTGTTTTGTTTGTGCCAACGCGGCACAAGTTGGTCGCAGTTTCACGCTTCCGTGCAGGGTTACAGTGTAAGATTGCATTTAATTTATATATTGTCAATGATGATATGTATGAAGTTATTAGAGAGAGTGAAAGGTTATTGTTGTCATGTTATAGGCCCAAGAGAACAGATATGGGAAATATTGACAGACTGATATAGGCACGTGGTGCGTCGCATTCGCCAAAATTGAACCTGTGTTCCAGTCCATTTGTATTTGTCAATTATGTTATTTTCTGTTTTGTTAAAGCAAGTCATTCTTTTCAGGTTTCGAACATCATCTTACATCACTTCATGCTAAAATACAGTGATGTTTGGTTTGAAACGCCCTAGTTTAAGCTTTGAATTTTAATATGACGGAAGTTGGTGAAACATTCGAAACACTGCCTTGAATCACAGATCTGAATTTAGAAATGATGAAGAAAATGGGCGAGACCAAAGATGCTGATCAGATGCAAGCTGAACATGATAGATTTAAGATGCTGAGAGCAAGCAGCAAAAGGGCATTCACTCGTATCAAGAACAACCTTTTGAAGGCCATTGAAGATGATGATGGAGTTGAACTGGTTCGTGACTGGTATTCTGAGCTGAAAGAAGCCTGGGCCAATGTGGAAAGGACCCATGAACAGTTCGTCAGTTGCTTACCTGTATCTGATTCAGAAACTGAAGAAGAGTGGATCAAAGCATGTGATGAGATGTTTGCTGCTGCAAAGAAGAAGACATACAAGTACACCGAACTAAAGGATGCAGCCAAACAAAGGGAAGGTCAGAAGAGCAACATCAAGCTCAGCAGGGTTGAACTACCTAAATTCAGTGGTGACCGCAGGGAGTACCCCAGGTTCAAATCTGATTTTAACAACCATGTCATCCCACATGTCAGTGATGGTTCAGCTGCATATACGCTAAGAACATGCTTGAACAAGAGAGGACAAGACCTGGTGAGGGTGGTGGATGATGATGTGAACGAAATGTGGAGAAGGCTTGATGAAGAGTATGGTGATCCCTCACTCATGGTGGATCTCATCATCAATGATGTCAAGAAATTCAGGATGATCCGAGATGACAAAAAGAGACTGATCGAGTTCATTGATCTCATAGAGAAGGGTTATCATGATCTCAAGTACATGAATATGACAGCTGAAATGTCCAATGTTGGATTCATCAGCCTAATTGAAGGAAAACTGCCTCAGTCAGTCAGAGAGAAGTGGGCAGAAAGGGTGAACAAAGAAGACACAGATGTCAATAGGAATGACAAGTTCCCTCATCTCCTGAAGTTCCTCTTGGAAGTGAGAAGAGTGACAAAATACCTGCTTTCCGACATCAGGGACCCAACAGTCACCCCTACTCCAAAGGCTGCTGTGCATGTTGGTTCGACAAACCACAACACAGAACAAAATCGACTGAAATGTCTACTGCATGGTCTTGGAGACCACACAACACAAGAGTGCAGAGGATTCAAGAGCATGAAGCCTGAAGAGAGAAGAGCTCTAGTTCAGAAGAAAGGAGGCTGTTGGTGCTGTCTGAAGAGAGGACACAGAGTAGCTGACTGCAGGTACAAGTACAGATGTCCTGTGACTGGATGTGATCAATATCACAATGAAGCATTGCATCTTGCTGAAGCGGCTCCAGTCCTCACAACAGCTGAATCTGACTCGTCTGCATGTTTGTTGCCGATCATGAAGATACGGAGCGGACGAAAGGAAGTGAATGTGCTCTGGGACAGTGGGTCGACCACAAGTTTCATCACCAACAGAAAGGCAAAGGAACTGAACCTCAAAGGGAGGCCATGCTCTCTCGAGATTGTAGGTATGGGCTGCAAAAACAGTCAGCTGAACTCCAAGAAGTACATCCTCCCTCTGACTGATCAGGATGGCCACTGCGTCGACTTTGAAGTCTATGGAATCGAACAGATCTCAACAAAGATCAACCTGAACATGAAGGATGACTTCAGCTCAACTGTACTCGATGCGAAAAGGCCCAAGGGTGAGATTGAAGTTCTGATTGGCTTTGACCATGCTGCGCAACACCCAGTCAGAGAAAAGTCAATGGAAAATCTGGTGCTGCTGCGCAACAGGTTTGGTGTGTGTGTGAGTGGGTCACACCCCAGCTTGGTCGAGAAAACTGAGGTCATGTCGATGCACATGCAAGTGTGTGCAATCTCACCAACCAGTCTGGAAGATTTCTTCACCACAGAGTCACTGGGAACGCAGTGCACTCCCAAGTGTGGATCGTGCAAGTGTGGCAAATGTCCCCCAGGGGGCAAAGACTACACTCTTCGTGAGGAGAGAGAGTTGAAACTCATTGAAGCAGGACTTCAACATCATGATGATCACTGGGAAGCCTCCTACCCATGGGTCAAGGATCCGAAGGAACTGAAAGATAACAGACAAGCTGCACTGGCAGTACTGAACTCGACGGAGAGACGACTAAAGAAACACCCAGAACACGCATCTGTGTACCAAACCCAGATTCAAGACATGGTGGACAGAGGAGTGGCCAGGAAGATCACAGAAGAAGAAGCTGCTGGGTATGATGGCCCAATCCGCTACATCAGTCACCATGAAGTTCTGAAACCCGACTCCAAGTCCACCCCGTGCCGAATAGTTTTTAACTCGTCTGCTCGCTTCCAGGGGCAGATCCTGAACGACTTCTGGGCCAAAGGACCAGATCTGCTGAATAGTCTTCTGGGTATTCTGCTACGATTTCGTGGGGACTCAGTGGGTGTGGTTGGAGATGTGAAGAAGATGTATCATTCCGTGAAGATACCGCTTCTAGATCAACACACGCACAGGTTCTTGTGGCGTGATCTCGAAGAAAGAGAACCAGATACCTACGTCATGACATCTGTGTCGTTCGGCGACAGACCTGCTGGAGCTATCGCCACTCTCGCCATGCGTAAGACAGCTGAGCAGGGACAAGCCCAGTTCCCAGGCGCAGCTAGAGTGGTGATAGAAAACACTTACATGGATGATGTCATCTTCAGTACAGCAAGTCGAGATGAGGCCACAGTTATCACCCAAGACGTGGAGAAGATGCTGAAGACCGGAGGGTTTCACATGAAACGCTGGGTCATGTCAGGAGAGAAACCGGACCAAGAACGCGACCTGACTGACAAGGTCCTGGGAGTCAGCTGGAAGCCAGAACAAGACATGTTCTGCTTTCAGACCCAGTTGAACTTCAATCAAAAGAAGAAAGGTGTGAAAGTTGCAGAGCCGCTAGCCCCAGGCGAGACATCAGATGCAGTTCCTGATCCACTGACGAAAAGGATGGTACTGTCTCAAGTGAATGGAATCTACGACCCGTTGGGTCTGGCTGCTCCGTTCACCGTCAAAACCAAGATCATGATGAAGAGGATGTGGATGGATGAGATGAAGGAACTCAACTGGGATGATCCGATTCCTGCTGCTCGAAGAGAAGAGTGGGTGGAACTCCTCAGTGAATTCCACGGAATGCGAGAAGTGGAGTTCCACCGGAGCATCAAACCCCCGTTAGCAGTGGGCAAACCGACGCTGATAGTGTTCTGCGACGGGTCAAACGAGGCATATGGAGCGTGCGCGTACGCAAGATGGGAGCTGAGCGACGGCAACTTTGAAGCCCGTCTCATCGTCGCCAAGACCAGAGTGTCTCCTGTGAAGAAACTGACTATCGTGAGAATCGAACTGAGTGGAGCTGTACTTGCTGCAAGACTAGCAACTTTCTTGAAAAGAGAACTGCAACTTGAATTTGGTGCGACGTTCTTCCTGACGGACTCAGAAATCGTCAGAGCAATGATACAGAAAGAGTCTTATGGATTCGCCACCTTCGCTGCTGTTCGAGTCGGTGAAATTCAACATACAACAGACCCGACTCAGTGGTACTGGGTCGAAGGAAATCTGAATGGCGCAGACTGTCTCACAAGAGGGAAACATCCAACCGAGCTTGGAGGAGACAGTGAGTGGCAGGCTGGACCGGAGTTTCTTAAGCTTCCGATCTCAGACTGGCCTCTGAAGATGGACAGAATCAGCTCCTGTGAGCTACCAGAGAGACTCGCTGTCGTCATGAAGTGTGAAGAGGCTGGAAGAAACACAGAGAGTCTCATGGACATCAGCAAGGTCTCAAGATACCGTCGTCTGATGAGAGTCACTGCAAGAGTCATCAGCGTCTTCTGCAAGTTGAAGCCAACGTTCAGGAACGTGAGTCAGCAGCCGTCTGTCGAAGGCCTAGAAGCAGCAGAAAGGTACTGGGTCAAAGAAGCACAGAAGATGCTACATGAAGACCTCAGTGGGGGCAAGTTCAGAAGACTACGCCCGACATACAACAAGGACGGCATCATAATGGTCGGCGCTCGAGCTGAAGAATGGCTGGAGATCAGCTACAACCGCCAGCAGCTACCGCTACTGCCGTTCCAACATCGTCTGTCGCGGTTGTACGTGGAGTACACACATCAGCAGGGTCACCTGGGCACTTCTGCAACAACTGCCAAAGTCAGAGAAAGGTTCTGGATCATCAGCCTGCAGAGGATCTCCAAGGCAGTGCGGTATGGATGTGTCATCTGCCGCAAACTCGACAAGAAGTTCGAAGCACAGAGGATGGGCCAGCTACCAGTGGAGAGGCTGAAGCCAGCGCCAGCATGGAGCAGCACTGCGCTGGACTATTTCGGTCCCATGCTGATCCGAGGAGAGGTGAACAAGAGGTCCAGGGGCAAAGCCTACGGAGTTCTCTTCACCTGCATGCTGAGCAGGGCCGTTCACCTGGATCTGGCATCCGACTACTCAACGGATGGATTTCTGATGGTATTCCGCAGGTTCGTGTCTGTCCGCGGATGTCCATCAAAGCTGTTATCGGATTCTGGCTCACAGCTGATGGCTGCAAACAAGGAGCTCCAAGCTGCCGTGAGGCACCTGGACCGAGATACGTTGCGAGAGTTCGGAGCAGAGAACGGCATATCATGGGAGTTCACCACACCTGACGCGCCTTGGCAGAACGGTTGTTCTGAGGCACTCATCCGATCTGTGAAACGGACCCTGTCATCTGTGATCGGAGATCAGGTGCTGAGTTTCTCTGAGCTGCAAACTGTCATGTTCGAGGTGTCAAACTTGCTCAACGAACGACCAATCGGGAGACATCCGACTGATGTGCAGGACGGCGTCTACCTCTGTCCCAACGACCTGATTCTGGGACGAGCCAGTCGCCGAGCACCATCTGGTCCGTGGGACCAGTCGACGAGCATCAGTCGGCGGCATGAGTTTCTTCAGCGTTTGGTTGACGCTTTCTGGCGGAAATGGACGCGCGACTTCTTCCCGACACTTCTGCCGCAGCAGAAATGGCACGTGACGAAAAGGAACGTTCAGGTGGGCGATTTGGTGTATCTACAGGACTCCAACGCAGTGCGAGGAAATTGGAGAGTTGGTGTCGTGACCCGAGTGCGTGAGGGACGTGACGGACGTGTCAGAGACGTGGACATACGATGCAGAAGTGCGACGGTATGTGAAGGCGGGGCGGCTAGGCCTGCCAGCCGCTGTGTAGAGATAACTCGTTCGGTTCATAGGCTGGTGGTGTTGGTTCCAGTCGAGGAGCGCGACGGGACGGTGCAGCTGGACTCGACAGGCGGCGTCGGGTCTGCAGGCGTAGTGACGTGAAGGATCGCGATGCAGACTCGGCGAGAGTATGAGTGACGGGTACCTATTGTCTTGTGCGTTGTGGGACAGCAATGTTATTAGTTGATACGCAGATACTTGTTTCAGTTCAAGTGAATTCATTCGTGCTGTGCAGCGCTCATGAATTGTTGAGGCGGGAGTGTTTCGCCCAATTGCGAAAGATGTATCGGCTATCGCTGCAAACTAAAGTTTTGGCTGTTGTTTAACGGACTCAGCTGATGTCGATGGATTTTCCGGTTGGGTTTCGTTTCGTTGAACCTTGACCTTGTTTTGTTTGTGCCAACGCGGCACAAGTTGGTCGCAGTTTCACGCTTCCGTGCAGGGTTACAGTGTAAGATTGCATTTAATTTATATATTGTCAATGATGATATGTATGAAGTTATTAGAGAGAGTGAAAGGTTATTGTTGTCATGTTATAGGCCCAAGAGAACAGATATGGGAAATATTGACAGACTGATATAGGCACGTGGTGCGTCGCATTCGCCAAAATTGAACCTGTGTTCCAGTCCATTTGTATTTGTCAATTATGTTATTTTCTGTTTTGTTAAAGCAAGTCATTCTTTTCAGGTTTCGAACATCATCTTACATCACTTCATGCTAAAATACAGTGATGTTTGGTTTGAAACGCCCTAGTTTAAGCTTTGAATTTTAATATGACGGAAGTTGGTGAAACATTTTCAAAGAAGTAAAAACGTAACTAAATCGAGCATCGTATACTGGCACTGTTGCGAGAATCGCTGCCTATTTCAATACCAAGTAGCCACTTGAGCGAATAAAGGGCTTGGCAATGGGTGGTGTTGAGTGAATGTTGCATTGTCTTTCACCCGCACAGCCCCTTCAGTTCAAAGGACATACTGTGCAGGGCATATTATCTGCAATTGCTCTGAGTTATAGACAGTTACCATTCTGAATACCCCACCGATTGACCGACGGCGTATAAGGCACCCTGCGTTTAAACTACCCTGCGGTAAGTTTGTGGTTCGCCGTCGCCTAGACCCGCCTCAGCCGAGGTGACGGACGCGTGCCGTGACGGGGGCCGTTTGGGGGCCTGACGGCAACCTGCCCCGCCTGCCAGGACCCTGTTAGACTCCTTTACCGTCGAGCAAATGGTGACAATGGTTCACAGCACCCCGGCACCGGCCTCGCTAGGTGCTGGCGCCGGCTAATCACCGGCGCTGAGGACCGTTCGAGCCCGGTACCGCACGGAAACGAGCGCGCTGACACCCAGCCGCCATTCGGCACGGCGTTTGGCTGCTCGTGATGAAGTTTCATATTTCATACCCTGGGGCGGCCGCCATTGTAGTCGGGTCGAACTCGGGTCAGGCCGGCCGGCGCGCCGAGCAGGAAAAACGCACCCGCTCGGCCTATCACATCCGGCCGGCTGGTTTGAGGGCTTCGACGGTATTCGCTGGGGGTCCGGCAGTAATCCACGACTCGCGTGTCGACTGCGCGCGCCGCGACCGGCCGCGGTCTCCGCGACGTCGACGGCCGGCGATAATCGGTAATAGTTGGCCGTCGCCGACCGCCGACGGTGACAAAAAATGGCGTAAAATTCCTGCCGCTTTCACGCGGCCGCTCCGTGACGCCGCTTTGACAGCTCGGTCAGGAGTTCAAAAGGCGGAGTGGAAGCGAGAGTGACGCGCTATGACAGGCCGGGACCGGCCGCTGAGGCTATTCAGGTGCGCCGCCGCCATATTAGCGAGTGGTCCGGCCAGAGCACATTCGCCGGTGCGACCTTTATCTGCTGGAGCAGCCGCGGCGGCCGTGCACGGGGACAGGTGAGGCGGCAGCAGAGACGGATGCCCCGAGATCCCACCGGGTGGCATTCACCGAACGCTGAATGGGAGAGAAAGGAAACTGACAACTTCGCAGGTATGGAATGTCGATATGAAAATGGCGTCAAATGATGAAAGGACGCCGGCGAAGTTATTATGTTTGATGTTTTCAGCAGTCATCGAAGCTTTCCACCACAACATTCTACCGCTCCAAACTCAAACAGCCGCCCATTTTCACGTTTCTCTCTACACCACCCCGGTCCCCCTCAGCCCACCTGCTCCTCTCTGACCCCCCAACATCCCCATCATCTCCCCAGCTCCCCCACTCACCTTCCAGTCTTGGTGACAATCATCTCCGTGCCGAGCTCGTGGAACTTCTCCCAGAGCTCCTTGGTCTCGAGCGTGCACTGGACGTCCTGCAGCTCAGCGCACGTGCAGATGCCCTCCGGTTTGGCCTTCTTGCGCTCCTCCTTGTCTTCTCGGACGGCGCTCTCCACTGTGGAGGAGACCTCGGGAGTGCCGCGGTCGCTTCCCTCCAGCACCGTCTCGGCGGCCAGCTCCTCGTCCTTGTCTGAAACTGAAAACGACGGAGGAACGTCATCAGGATGAAGTGCTTCTTGTATTCTTTAAAATTAGCAGGAGCCTGAAAGAAGCGAGAGTCACAAAAATAAAACGTCAACTTTAAGATGGATAAATGCTAGGCACCGATACTCGAGAAAGGATTCAGGATAGCAATGAAAGAGAAAGCAATGTCTGGTGAAGAAAAAAAGCGAAGGAGAAAAGTAGAGGGAAGGATTGTCTTGTAAAGGCTTAAATAATCCAAAAGCATTAGTCACTCATTCGTAGTCAGTTCACGTCAGTTCCAGATTGCTTTCAAATCTCATGAGCCCCGGTGAGTCAATCACGCGTGATTAATCACGTGTCTATTTCCAGCGATCCAGTATGGTTAGTTTGTTGTGCCCGTTGAAGTGAGGAGCGTGTCTATTTTCATCACAATACGAAGAACCGATGGAGGCCAGGGGCACCAACCACCGGTCGGAGGGCCGGGCGCTGGCCACCGGAATTCCGCCGTGTAACTGCGAAACCCTTTGATTTCGGCAGCGGTGAGCAGATGCTCCCGGTCGTCTTCTGTCGGACGGAGCGGCGGCTGACAGCTCGGGAGAGCTTCTGAAGGCTTGTGACACCCCTCTGACGGGCTATGATGCCCTCTGATGGCCCCGAGCAGCCGGTGCAGAGGTGGCTGAGGAAGCTGTCGAGATGCCGTCGGCGAGGAAGGTGCAGAGATGAGAACGTTAGACGAGGATGACTGACAAGTGACAATCTAGTCGTTGAGCTCAGTGGAAAGGAGAGCGTCTCTAAATCGGAAAATTTTCCTGGAAGACAAGGTGGTAAGGTCAAGGACAACGTCTGGACAGGACACGTTGTCTTGCACTTGAGGAAATTCCTTTTACTTACTGATCTGCCAGCTGCTAAAAACATAGGCTGTTTAGCAATGGAAGGCATGTGAAAATGCTTATGGAGTGTCCATTTGTTGAACCATAATTCAGCATCAATCGATTGTCGCCTATTCATCGCGGCAATCAGCAATCACATTAATTTGGATGTCGCTCCTTGTCAGCGAGAGATGGGGGAGCCCTCAACTCTGCTTACTATGAGAGCGAGACTTGAATGCCAACGCAGGCGTCATACTCGTCAGCTCAGCCTGCTCACCTGCATACAACTCAGTGTCAAAACGAACACCGACCGACGCGACCGAGCCACGCAGACTCGCATACGAAAAACACCGTCCGGGCGGCGGAGGACGGTGGCCGAGCCTTGCGCCGGAAACGCGCCTTTTTGCGCCACGAGTGCCGCGACTGTCTAAGCGTCGGCTACCCACCTGTGGGAGGCACTAGCCCGGCTAATGTAACCGTTTTCCATTGGCTGGAAACAGCTTCTTATAGAGCCAGGGCACCGGAAGGGAGAGCGACTCGCATGCGAGCGACGCGTAGCGTGAGGCTCAAGAGCTTTATTAAAGGCGATAACTTCATGCATATAGCGCCTCTGCGGTTAGCAACGGACGGCTGACGATGCTGGAACAACGGGGAAAAAGCCACCCAGCGCCATCTGAATCGGTTATCGAGCACTGACCGGCTGCTAGCTAACTAGGAACAAACCACAAAATTGACAGCGCAGGTGCCACTAAGGGTGTATAACGAACTCCACAAAGTGGCGAGGTCACGCCTTTTGGGAGCGCTTTAGGCCGCAGTTCTCACATTAATCGCAATGGACAAAAACCCTGTCTGGTGGTCGGTGCGACTGCAGCGGCGGCGGCGGTACCCGGCGGCCAGCTGGGGCGACCGGCACTGTCCGAGAGGCCACCCCAGGCGGACCATTCACTTAACGAGCCTCAGCCAGGACCGGCCGGACGCCCGCAAACGGCCTCCCGGGATAAAGTCGTCCCCAGTGCGCATGCGTGCCGGCCGGCTCCTTTCCGTGTCTGAGCATCATGCATCAGCGTCTCTGCCGAGGATAAGCATCCCAGTGTTATAACCAACACCTCCACATCTGCAAATGGGATGTGACCACGTTATTCGTGCATAAAAGCTGCGAAACGCCTTTGATGTTCGCGGACTGAGCCGACTCGGAATCATCGTAAAGGCAAATTATTGCGTTCAATGGAGCATTAGCCGGCCTACGAATTAGGAAGTGTAACAGACACAAGGCCGGCTCCTTTGAAGCGGCCCATTCCGTGCCGAATGGCGATATGATACTTAGCAAATTGCACCCAATTTGTTAAATAAAGATTATAATTCGCGTCAGGAGCAGGGAGGTCCGTCTCGTTTTCATTTAGCCAATCCCCGCCGCATGGATGGCCGGCTCGTTCCGAAACCCAGCCGCCAATTTGCCGAGAATTTGTAAAATTTGGGTGGTAACCAATTATACATTAATGGGCAATAAAGCAGTGGGCTAATTGAAAGTGTGCGCCCGGCGCGGTGAGCCGGCGGCCGGCCGCGGCGCCCAACGAGCCGCCCGCCCACGGATATGGAAAATGACCGAGTGTCGATAATTTCATACCGAGAGAGGTGCACGGCTCGGCGCGCCGGTGTCACGCCCTAAAACGGCTTGTTCTGTCTGACAATTGGCAGTAAAACACCGATATGCTTCTTTACGACAGTCGCGCCGCCGGTCCGGTACCATAAATCGCGATAAATGAGTCTAATGGTGCACAGTAATATTGTGATATTTTCAGCTGACGCAAGCAGTACTGATCAGTAAATGAATACGTGGCGGGGTCCGCCTTTGTAAGACTGTTTCGAAGGTTGATGGAGATTTGCAGTGAAACACACTGCTGAGGATACGCGGCGATGTCTTCAGAGGATATGCATTATGTGTGATCAGGGGCTGGTTTCCGTCGCCCATTTTCGTCCCTGGTTCCCGCTCGCTAGATACATGGCTAAGAAACAACTGGGACATCAACCGGGCAGCAATCAGACTCTCGCTCGTTTCAATCTCCTGCACTTGGAGCCGTGATCTGGTGAAAGGACACTAAAACTCATTGCAAATGAACGTTGCAACATTCGGCTTAGTATACATATGTTGCACATACAAGACAATTAAAACGGATTGGCATTAAACGTCATGTTGCAGTGTTTCAAGTCACCGCTCGCACCTGTCCAAGTCCCAGTACTTTCATAAATATAGACATTTTGACTGCTCAGGGTACAAGAAAGGACAACTACATCTCTTGGCTTAAAATAACATAAAGTTCGCCACTGGAGGTGATAATATATTGTTTACAGCGCACCTGAGAATGCAATTGCACCTCGTCTAGGTATATCTATAATATACAGCTCATACATCGCACTCAGCACTTAATTCCATTTTATGCATGTCGCGTAAATATCCGTCCGATTTTCATGCCCACGCTGGTCTGTCTAGCGGCTTCATCAGCTGGTCTCCCACTGTGCGCCCTGCTGGAGGAGCGAGCCCCTCCCACCCGCTCCACCCTTCAGTCCGACTACCTCCTCTGACACCACCCTCATCCATCGGAAGGAACACACCGCCAACTGAGGTGACGCGCGCGCGGCGTCACATCTCGTTACGGCGACCGGGCGCGCCGCATTCGTCACTGCTGATCCACGCGCCGCGGGTGTGGACAAAACAGCGGCGCTCGGCGTCGGCCGGCGCTGAGCTCGCCGAGCTGATGCTGAGCTGACGGTGAGCTGATGCTGAGCTACGGCCTCTGACTGTCGACTGGTGGCCAGCGCGCGCCGCCCGAGCTCCATAAAGCAGGGCGGAGTCGACCGACCGGACGGACGCGGAGGTCCCGGCGCGCGCGAGGGGTGTCCGAGTGACGCCCGAGTGTTCAGCGGGGTGCCCTGAGTGCCCAGTGGGGTGTCACAAAGTGCCTATGATTTGCTGTGGTTGATGGGAGAGACCACAGGCATTGGATCATCCTCAGCTTTCAAAAACCTTTCTAAAAAAGATGTCTTCCAGAATACCAAAATATCAACTGACCAGCTGTTAGTCCGTACACCAGTTGAAATGGCCAACTGTGAGGTTTACGAGCTCGAAAAACAGCTGTATCGGGGCACAACGTGCAGCCACTGCTATAAGCCCGAACAACTGCCGTAACTACTTCCTTTCAGCTGTAAATTTGGTATATGTTCACACCGACCAAACGTGAGCTGGTCTAAGTCTTTCCGAACCGCCTGTACCGAGAACGCACTGCGCCCATCACCTTTTCGACTGTTAAAATCCCAGTCAAAGGCTTTGGAAACCAGTTTAAAGCTCAGATAGCAGCTGTTTCGACAGCTACAGGCTCAGACAGCCGCTGTTCCGACTATCATAAGCTCGGACAGCTGCTGTCCTGACAGCTCGAAGATCTGCTGTCCCGAGCCGACAGTTTAGGCTTGGACAGCTGCTGTTCCGACTGGCATAACCTCTGACAGTTGCTGTTCCGACCATCATAGCCTCGAACAGCTGCTGTTCCGACTGTCATAGGCTCGAACAGCTGCTGTTTCGACCGTCATAACCTCTGACAGCTGCTGTTCCAACTGCCATAACCTCTGACAGTTGCTGTTCCGACCGCCATGGCCTCGGACAGCTGTTGTTCTAACTGCCATAACCTCTGACAGTCGCCGCGCTGCCGGCCGGGTCGGGTGACAGTCTCACAGCTCACAGGTGACAGTCTCACAGGTGACAGTCTCACAGCTGACAGTCTCACAGCTGGGTGGTCGGGTGGGTGGGCCGGGCGTCAGTTGCGAGATATGGCCACGGCAGGGGGCGGCCGGCCAGCTCCGGTGGACACAGCGGACCTTCACTGTGTGCACGTGCAGTCTGGAATGTCACGGGTGGGGCCCACTCGCTTTCACTGACTCATGCTCCTCGGCGGCGTGCGAGTTTCTGAATGGACAAACCACAGCAGTGGAGGCTCTGCATGCTAGATAGGGTGGATTATAAGGTTTAGGTAGTGCGAATGAAGATGGTAGTAAAAAGCTTACCGCACAAAATATGAAGCAAGGTGTCAACGGAAGCCCATGCTACGATCAGCAAGTAGAATCAATTGAACGCGTTCAACAGAGATACTGCGACCGGTTTATAGTCTCTAGACTCAAATGACTGCATCGTTGCAGAAGCGGCGAAAGACAGCGCTGAGTCCTTGTCGTTCATTGCTCTGAGGGGCTGTCGGGCTATATGAAGTTACAGTAGCAGCTATGTAATGTAACAAAATATGATAGGACGGGAAGGTAATTGAGAAGAAAAACAGACGAATAAGGTTTCAAATATAAAGCAGAGAGCAAGGAATCAAATTCGACAACGTACATCTTTATCAGGACTGCATAGTCGAAGTCGGAGCCGAGCTCGGATTCAGTCGGTGTCAACAATTCTTCTCGGAGTCGGAGTCGGAGTCGCAAAAACACCTACTCTGACTCCGGGGTCGGAGTTAATAATGCACGGCTCAAAGTCATGCCCTATGCCTGTTTCTTTGAAAATGTTACGCTCGTTGTCGTTGACCTTTCCAAAACAGCTTTTGTCGAAGCTTAGGCCATACTGCTGTTTCAGACGAGCGTTTCCAGCGAAAAAAAAAACAGAAGCTACCCTCTCCTCATTTTAGTTTTGCGGGCTATTTATAAATGAAATATAAGGCTTTGGAACGTGCAAAGGATTGTTTCCGGCAAAGTAAAGATATTCGACATGATCCTGGCTACCATGACATGGACTTGAGAGAAATGTCCGGAGTCGGAGCTGGAGTCAGAGATAGGAGTCGGAGTCACCAAAAAGTTCATCGGCTCTGCAGCACTAGTATTGATATTCCACTAGGTTTTGGCTTTAAATGTTTGGAAACTATAAGCCATAATTCACAATAAAAATATTTGAACAATAATGAACATCGGTGACCTGACCACTGAACTGACTCAAAAAAGCTCAAATATCTTTTAATGATCTTTGACCACCCTTTAAGTCTCATTTACCTACTTGTCGGTGTCCTCTAAGAGCATCAGTTTATTGATCTATCCTATATCGCAGATTTATGTTCACTTGCTTTTCACATTTTGAAACTTAATCATTTGAATTTTTATTCGCATTTATCATTTACTTTCAACTGAAAGCAAGCAGTGTTCAACCGGATGATGGGGTCCTTACCCATTGAAGTTTTTTTCAGCAGTTTTGCTACGGAAACGAAACGAAACAACACGAAATTTTAAATTCATCAAATTGCCATACCACCTATTAGCAGCTACTTAATTCCAAATATGCACGCAGCATATTGCACCAAAATGAACAATAAACGCTTGTACAGGCTTGTTTCGGACCCGTCTTACGCGACTATAAGCTCAGCTGGAACGCGACTTGGTTTGCGCAGGGCAGGTCAGATTGGACTTGAAGTGATCTGTCACTAAATTATTGATATAATAATAATAATAATAATAGCCTCTGTCACAAATTCGAATCATATGCGACCGCTAACCTCAATTCCAGAATATTGGAAACGCCTCCCCAATATCAGGCGTTAAAGCCATCGCTGCAGAGGGGAGGGCGCCCCAAATCATGTTAGCAAGAATAGTCCGATCACCGCCACCAATGAACCAACGGCCACCATTATGGGAAGCGGGGAGCTAATCGCTCCAGGATGGGGAGCCGCGGGGAGCCGAACACACAGACAGACAGACAGACAAACGCGGCACACTGCTGGATGCGGCCCGGCGAAGAGGGGAGATCGCGGCACACGAGGAACATTTATCACAGGAGCACACTGCATAACTGGGGAGGCCCGAGTGAGCGTCCCACAGCCGCAGAATAGATGAAACCGCGCTCTGACCACTGGGGAATACAGCCACGAACGGTCGAAACGGGAACTTATGGAGCACGAGTGGTCCTAACGGGATCGGGGAAGCTCAATGAAAAGAAAATTGAACTTTTCGGGAGGGAAGGAAAGATGGAGAAAACATCGCTGGGGACACAAAGGCGGCGGTGACGGTCGAATCCTTCAGACGGTGGGACATCTTTGGTGGCCATGTAAGAAGCTGGGATGTTAGGTGTCTGAAGAATCGGACCTCCCACAGACCGGAGTATAGCGAGAAAACGGTAAACGACGTGCTCCCATTGCGGAGGATTTCATTATCGCGAGATCCGCTGACGATTGCTAAGGAAATCGTTAATGCTTCTAGTGGATAAAGCTGGGCATTTTTCGAAAGGCTCCATAGAGTCTCACTTTATAAAAAGAAATGTAGGCATCACACATACACAAAACACACATAAAGCACAAAAATCACGAAGAATCAGCCGGATTATGTAGCAAGGAACAATCAGGGAACGTGTACATAAACTTGACCGAATGGACATTGGCAATGTAAACTGAGATCCACCGAACTGCTGAAAGTGGAATATAAACAGAAAAGCAGCATCGTAAAAATAACATAAGCGGGACATGTTTTATAACTGTCCGTCGTTTCCCAACTAGCTACCATGGAATGAAGCAAGAAATAATCAAATTATAAAGGCTGCAAATGTGCCAGTCTTAGGTGGCTAAGCACTAGTAGGCAGGGTTACAGCTGGGTCCTAACACTGCACCGCACCCTGAACTACAGCTTCACACGACATGCCAAGACTCCGACCCTCAGTATTTGGAAATGAACCAGTAAGTTAAGAAGCCATTAGGCTCCATGGGCTGTCTTGAAACTAAGCCATTGAGCATTCTCTCGCTCTTCAAAATGCTGTCATTCATAACAAGACACATCTCAGAGATTGGTCCTGGCTTTGAAGCCATTAGGACAAGCTGAGAAGCCGTCAGCTTAACCTGACTAGCTACCTTCCCGGGACAGAGCATGAAGTTGGGCATCTGGATCTGGATCTCGGTAAGCCTTCGAGCGATCCTGGCGATACCATCCTCGGTCGACACATCTCAACGGTGGACCTACCGGTAGCAGCGGCTTGTAAACTGGGTAAACGGCCGGCAGATACCATCGGCCGCGCGCGCCGCGCTCCCCGGATTGCCGAGCGCGTGTCACTCGCGCTCTGGATCTGATTAGGGGCACACGAGCGGCGGGACGCGACAGCATGGTAGGGCAGCCCGCGGTCACCTGATATCCCTGCGGTGTCGCCGAGAGGGTTGCTGAGTGAAACTGAGCCCCACAGTGACCGCGGTATTGTGCTGTGTGTTACTGGGAACAACAGTGAATCACCACTGCCCTGAGAGAGCGCTCGAAGCACTCCCGGTAGAGGCTAGCAGCTTAATTAGGGGTACGGCCACACCTCCAGTGAGTGTAACCCGGACCTCCCAAACCGTCCGTGATGCTAACACCGCGGTTCTAAGAGCCAGGTGTTGGCATGTGTGTTGCACATGATGCATTTTGACAGTCATGTGATGAGAAGATGCCATAAACTAGTTGGTCGTATAGGCAGCTGAGGACAGGTCATATTTACCCTCTGCGGACCCCCCACAGACACTTCCGAGGGAAAATGTACGGTACCTGGCAAATAACTAACTATATAGGCGTGGCCGGTTTAGCGTAAGCCGCTCGTAAATACTCCCCACCCAGACATATTTGCATCGTCTTGACCGCAAGGATCATCTGTTTAATGCAAATCACTGACGCCTAATAGTGCTGAAAATTACGCGAATGACGCAAGATTACATGATTTGAAAGATGGCACGCGTGGAATTTTTAGCAAAGTAAGCAACATTTATATGGAATTTGCGTTGAACCTTCAAAACAGGCAACTTTGTCTTGGGGATAACTCCACAAGATGACGAATGGGAATGCTTGCAACGAGAAAAGTAGGTAAGTACATGCGTCCATCGCAAGTTGACAGATATCCACTATGCAGTTTGCATATGTATCGAAGAAAAAAACTGTCAAATCACTATGATTTACGATGCTATGTCTCACTATGCTTTACACGATTCATGACTTATAGCCTGCAGAAGTCCGCCTATTGACTTAGTCGTAACCTTTACGAACGAGGTTATCACCGTATGAACCTTCTACCTGACATTCAAGCAGTAACACCACTTGGACATGCTGTTACAAAACAATTACATACAGCTGATATCCATTCAAATGCATGCAATGCATGCAGCTCACTAAGCATATTTCATACAACCTTTGCTAAGAAATGCAATGTTATGTTAAGCTCTCTTGTTTAAAAAGATCTGTCGATGCTTCACGCAGTGGCGAAAGGCAAGATACCTATACCAGTCACTGCAGTTTAAAATGACGGTGTCAGAAGTGTCGTATAGCTAAAGCATGAGCAGCACATGACACTTCCGCCATTACTTCACTACATTCACTTCACTACAGTTACCAGTGGTAAAAAACGTCAGATAACAGCGAATCATCTGTGTCAGATGAAAGCGTGACACCAGTGCCATATGACAGTGTGACACCAATTTCAGATGACAGCGTAGGAAGCAACGATAAGAGAATGTATAATATTTTCCGTATAGCATGCTTATTGCCAGATGACAGTTTGTCATCATCATCAAATGACAAAGCATTAAAGATGACAGATGGCACATGACAGCTGATAATGTGTCAGTGATGACAGATATTTTTCAGTGTACATTGCTGACATCTGACAGTGTTTCATTTCTGACAATTGTCACTATGTCACATTTATCATTGCTGTCACCAGACAGCCTGACATGGCTGTCATCTGACAGTGTGTCGTCCTTACCTTGCTCGGTCCTACCCGTGAGTGCCGGCTGACAGCGTATCATTACTGTCCCCTGACAATGTGTCATGGCTGTCATCTGACAGTGTGTCACGGTTGTCATCTGACAGTGTGTCACCTCGCTCTCACCTTGCACGGCGCGGCCCATGAGTGCCGGCAGACAGCGTATCAATTCATTACTGTCCCTTGACAATGTGTCATGGCTGTCATCTGACAGTGTGTCATGGTTGTCATCTGACAGTGTGTCACCTCGCCCTCACCTTGCTCGGCGCGGCCCATGAGTGCCGCGATGGAGAAGTCGGTAGAGCGCGGTTTGTTGAGCGCCTCTGCCATCTGTGTGTCCAGCATTGGTGGGTCGGCGCAGGTCAGGTCAGGTCGCGCAGGTCAGGCGAGCAGCGACACGGCGCGGGCGATGGTCCGAACAGGACCTGTGGCCCTTCGGTGGAGAGCAATCTGCAATGCAGGGAATGTGTCAGACTACTTGGTTTCATAAGTTGTCAACTGCCCTCCCGTCTTGTCTCATGACAGGAATGTCAGTAGGTACGCGTCAAAAGCAATAACCACCGAAAACTACCCCGCTCAAAACATTTCTACTGCGGTCTCCAGGGATCCTCAATCCAAGCAAGTCAGCGTAAACTTTAAATGACAATCCGATATGTGTTGGTGACACCCTTCCCGAAGACAGTATGACATTTCTGGTTGCTTATATCGATAGTCGCATTTCACGCAGTGCCAATCAAGGCATGCCTTAGGTACTTGATCGATATAGAAGTATCTGTAAACTCCATCCTCTAGCATTCCATCCCTCTGCTCTCTGGCCCCACCCAATTCCGTCACTACCGACACCCCTGACTCCCACCCCGGCGGCGGAGCGCGCGTGTAACGGGCTCGACCGAGCCGAGTCGGCTTTCCCGGCGGTCGGCGGGCAGGGAGACGAGCATCCCGACCAGAAATCGACGCGTCGGGAGCGACAGACTGACCGGCACGGACTCAGGTTAGGACGAGTCAGATGTGTGAACGATGCGAGCATTGCCGGAAGCTATGTAGATGAAAGCAGCCGCGAGAGGCCCGGACCGGTTGCAAGCGTCCAGCGCTGCAGCGGAGTGGGCGCCTGAGGCGGCGGCGGCCGGCGGCGGGCGGCGGATGACGTGATGGTGGCGGGATGACGGCTGCCGTCGGTGACAGACCGATGACTGTCATGTCAGAGTGACGCATCGAGTCGTAACTCACCTGCCGTCGATGCCGATGAAGCTGTCCGACACTATTAGAAGAGCTGTCGATGGTCTCAGATGATGGTGTTTATCCGAGCTTCGACGGCGCTGATGACCCGCTGGTCCGATCAGGTCAGCTCAGGTCAGGTCAGGTCAGGTCAGGTCAGGTCAGACCACAATCAATCCAGACCTAATACCAGCACCGTATCACAAGTCCCGTTCGTCGCACACACCACACTGAACGTCCTCCAACGCTGCGTCGTTTTCGGCGACCGTCGTCACCGGCGGTGGCTGTGGCACACCGGACCGTCCTGAAGACACTGGGTGGTCGCGGCGCGTCCGCTGGACTGCCGTCGGCTGCGGCAACTGCAAATCACCCGAAAACGGCGGGGTCGACTGGGCGGCGGCGGCGGCGGCGGCGGCGGCGGCGGCGGGCGCCGGGCGAGCCTGTCGCCGCCGCCCGCCGGCCGACTCACCACTCGCCGCTCACAACGGCCGTGGGCTGGTGCGGATCCGGCCGCACCGCCGCCGTCGGCGCCCCTCCCCGCTGGTGGGCGGGGGAGCCGCCGAGCCGGCGAGCTCGAAAGGTGTGTCGGTTTTCTGACGAGATGCGGAACTTTCGGTGAGGTGAAGACGCCATCCGGATTTATGCCGCGCGCAGATTGGCGTTCTGAGATCTAAAGCTGGAGTTGGCCTGAGGTGGGGACGGTTATTGCTTCATAACCCGTCTCGAGTTTCGCGGAAGTCGAGGTGCGTCCGCCGGTTAGAGGCTCGTAACTGAGTGTCGGAGCTGGCTGAGGCTCCAGCGATGCAGGACTGACAGCTAGAAGGCCGGTGGAGTCTTCAGACGCCTGGAATAGCCCCGACAGACGGAGAACGTGATGACAACTCGTGGATGGGCCTCGGAGGATCGGGCGACAGCGTGACATTTCGCTCACCTTTCGGGGACTCTTGAAAGTTTAAGATACTTTCACCGGAAAGGTCCCGCGGAGTGATAGTGGCTTCATCTGGAAAGTGATAAAATGTCTTACGGTGAAACTGCAAAGTGAACTAAAAGGTTACCTGGAAAGCGAAAATAGTCAAGTTACGGTAATCCAGGATAGATAGGTGAGTTGATTAGACTACGTTAAGAAGAATTGGTTTTTGATGCAGCAGATGAATATGCAATAAAACTATATTTTTGCTTTCTGTGAGCGAAAATACTGAAGTGATTGCCGTTTGGTATAGTGTCATACATCATGCATTAACTGCATCTTCAGCAGCCGTCTGATCAATTTCCTATTTATAATAAGGCACGATAGTGTGAAAAAACTTTACATGGCTGTCGCATCAGTAAACCAACAGTCAGTATCAGGCGCACTTCCAATGCTGGGTGAATATCAAGCTGCAATCAGCAACCATGCCAAAGTATTTGGCGATTGGGACTTGGGACTATGGGGTAAGCATCGAAGACGGGGACAAGCCTAAGGCATTTCCAAGTCCTGATCGTTCACCCTATTTATGAGACTTTTTGTTGCATTTACTCGTTAGCTTGAAAAGCAAAGCAAAAGAAAAGAAATGATCGATGCTCGTATCAACTTAGGTTAGGAATCAGGCTGACTTTCAGATGGCTCGGCTCGACCTTTGGGGCAGAGGGGACGAGAGTATCATCAAGAGGATCGATATCGACTTAAATGTGGATAGCCCATTACAAGTACAAAAACCGAATAATGCTTATTGAATAATGCTAAATCTAACCATTTGCATTGCTTACAGAGTGAGTGATTTATTCACATCAAAGATTTTCCCTGTAAACAAGGAAGCCATTAAAAAGTCATCTTGAATGAATAGGAACAACTTCAAAATACTTTCGATGATAATTTGGTCTCAGGTCATGAAGCATCATCTAAATTTGGGAAATGTGCTATTTGCATGTGCCAATAGTGGGCTAGCAGTTAGCACTTCGCATACGATTCTGCTAGAGTGTATGTATGGTCGGTCACTGGCCTGCATAATGCTCTGAATTAGAGCTACCACAAGAGTGCAGCCAAGCCAGCGCCCACAGAAGACACCCAGCCGTCTTAGCTCTACATCATCACCTCTGCCACAAGCAGGTCGACCGACCGGGATCGATTTTCGGCAGAGAGGGGTGTTTTATTGCCGTGACATTACAGCGAGGGGACGGGGAGGGTGCTGCTCATTTGACGAACTCCACACACCAGACGGTCGAACAGATAGCCAACATTTATATCATCCGTCCAACCCCGTCCGAGCGGTATCAGGTTCCCGTCGCACGGCCGTGGTGATATTACACCAACTAACGCGATCCGCCCTATATTTACCCGTCGGTGATTTCAGAACATCTGACGCGACCCCTCGAACCCTGTCGGGCCAGCTAAATGCGGCCACGAAATACGACCGACGCCTCCATCAGCCGGCCTCGTGTTCCTGAGTCGCAATCCGACTGCTGTCGGTGGCCATCAGCCGGCTCTATCATTACCGTCCACAAAGTCCCGCTTATGGAAATCACTAAGCGGCGTGTTATCGCTATCAGACGTCCAAGTCCGGTCGGATTGAGACGCGGCCCGGACGGGAATGGTCGCTGAGTGGCGGGTGGGCGCCGGAGTCCGAGTGACATCCCACCATCCCCGTGACGAGTGTGACGGCTAGTGACGCCTGTGACGGGTGGGACGCCTGTGATGGGTGTGACGCGCCGGTCGAGTGGCCGCCGTCGGCTGCCGTCACGCAGAGTGGGGACTCCAAGATTGGGTCAAAGGGGTCACAAAAGGGGTCACCAGGGTCGTGGGGAGTATCCGACAGGCTTTCTTGAGGGTCCCTACTAAATGGAATGGTGGGAAACGAGAGATTGGGAAATGAGCTTCCCTCTAAAGTGTTTTAAAGTGTTTTAGTATGAACAAACCATGAGCAGCGTTTGCTACAAGCTTTGTTATCGTGTCTCGGGACCATGGTATGCAAGGATGCAACTTTTCTCAGCGTTGGCTGTAGCAGCAAAGGGTGTAGGCATTTGCAGCAACATGCTTTTCATTATTTTGATATGTTTGTTTGCAATAGAGATTTTAGGGAAATCTACATAGCTTGGTTTAAATCTACATAGGGAATTAAAAATCTACATAGGGAAATCTATGTAGCTTGGTTTAAAAGCGCCAAAGGTAATCCAATGCAATAACTAGACATAAGCCGTTTTCACGACGGCCATCTGGTACCTACACATTAGGTGCACATCTGGTGCATACCAGGTGCAGATTTGGTCAAATCAGGTTCAGTGTGTCTCTTAGTAGTTATCAGCTAGGGTTGCACTATTTGCTTATATGCCTGCTTTGTCATATTATCAGAGAGCATCTTCGATTAAAACACTGAAATAAGTTCATAAAATAAAGATATTTGCTGTAAAAGAGAGTAGGTGCAGATTTGGTCAAATTAGGTGCACTCGCCGGAAAGCCCGTCGTGAAAACGGCTATAAAAACGATTAAAACTATTTACTTATATTGGTTGTGAAAAATTAACAGTTTTTTGCCATTTCTATAGCCAGTCAATTAACACTCAGTGATCTTAACCCGCGCCCCACTGGGGGGGCTATTTATAGCCCCCCCCCTCCCGTTTTTCTGCAATAACTTCCAAACCGCTTGACGTATCGACGCCAAACTTTCAGTACCTTCGGCTGCATCAATTTGACACCTTGTGTCAAAATTTGAACTTCGTACCTACCATAGGTTGGCCGGAAATGACGTCAGAGTGACGTCATGTTCGGCCGATTTCGACGCAAAACATTGAACCACGGCAATCGCTCCCAAGAGCTCAGTTTTTAAGCTAGGTCCAATTTCTTTGCATGAGAGGACTCAGAATAGACTGCGCTATCAAACTGCTATCTCGGATTTTCGAAATTTTGAAAATTTCGAAAATTTTATATAATATAATTCAAAATTTATATTTTTACATTTTTTCAAAATATTTTTGACTTTTCGAAAAAAAACGGAATATATGTGATAGAACGCATTATTATGACTAACTCTAGCAAGTTTTAGATAAATATCTTCAAAAATGGCCAAGTTATACGCATTATTGCAAAAAATTCACAATTGTTAATTTTTAAAATCAATTTTTCAGCACGAATTTGACATCGTACGCCAAAATAAATAGCGCCATCGTGTTTCTGAGCTCAAACTGCATCCAATAGACACCTTTTTTGTTGAAAAATTTTAACTTCAAAACTTGACCTTTTTTGACCTGAAAGTGACCTGACCTAAGCTAAATTTGACTCAAAATGACCTCGAATGACACAGACGACATCAAATTCGAAATGTTTGGCCTAAATGGACCATAAAACATGTGTCACGTGACCGACGGATGATATAATATTTTCGTGACCTGTGATGACCTGACCTTGACCTGAAAATCAAAGTACAGGTTTGGTACCCTCAGAGTATCTAGAGCATCTGTTCACGAGTGTGTGACCCAAAAATGAGCCTGATCTGACTTGTAAGACGGCGGCCAGAGCCCAAAACGTGAAGAAGCCAAAATGCTAATAATTTTTACTTTGACCTGACCTGTGGCGTCATCGGTGACCTCGAGGTCAATGAAATTAGGTTTCGCTCGACAGTTTTTCCGGGGCTATCAGACGCCGTTTGAATTTTGACGATCGGCCCAGTAGTTTCGGAGTTAGGAGGGGGGGGCTAGAATAGCCCCCCCCCCCCAGTAGGGCGTGTTATACGCAGACCCCAGTGGGGCGTGGGTTAAACAAATTGGTTATGTACCTACCGATTTCATTTTAGTTTTGCAAAGTGTTTTTTTTATCGGTGTAATGCATACCTACCCACACACCGAGAGCGTTAATGTTTATTTGTAAACGTTAATAGTAATAATAACTTTGAGAAAATATACTTTTAAATGGCCTCCTTACAATAAAATACCAAATGATGGGTGATTGAATTAATTATTTCATTCGCCCATCATTTTAACCCTCGCCCGCACATGGGGGGGGGTGGTTGCCACCCCCCCAGGCAGTCTTTCTGCTCTGCACTCAACATTTTTAGAGCTAGAAGGCTGATTTTTCGTATAGCTGCTCGTCTATCCTTTCTTAATGTCCACTGAAAATTTCAAGTTTCTGCGATTTTTGGTTTCGGAGATATGACCTTGTTTTTCAGGTCATGTCATGACCCAAATGGCCAATTCTCAACATCTTGCGTTTGCCATGGGCCTTGTGAGCTTTTGACACCCTGATTTCGGCCTTTTTTGCCAGTTTTACCTCCCACCTATCATGGAACATGTTGTTCGACGATGTACAGGGGTCAAGGTCAGGGTCAAGGTCAACCTAGGTCATCTAAGATAATTGCGTTTTAGGCAAGCTGAATTTACTTTTTGTGAAGTTTTTTGACTGCATTTTTGGTAAAAGCTTCCAAGATCATGATTTCATGTGATATGGACCCAAAAACAATCGGTGCACACATCAGTA